GATTTCCCCTTAGTCTCCTGAAAGGAGCACAGCCCTGCCAAACATTGATTATTGGTGCTGTTAGACCTATTTCAGACCTCTGACTTCTTTAATTGTAAGATAATAAATTTGTAACTTTAACTTAAAATGTACAAATGCAAATTATGTAATCGATTATGTAACTACTTGTAATACTCTGAAATAAAAAATAAATAAAATTTAAAAATAAAAAAGTTTTAAAAATAAATAAATTTGCATTTTTAAATCACTAAATTCAAAATATTTTTGTTTACAGCAACCAAAGGAAATTAATACAGTTTGTAATTTGAATAATGAAGGCAGAAATGAGCTCCTATTTTTGCTATAGCTACCTTAGAATATGCAAACAGGTCGGTTTTGAAGACTGAGTTAGAAACAAAAATGTGAAAGTTAAAATTCTTGTAGTGTCAAAATTTAAGTCATATGTAATTTGTCTGGATGAGGCTTTGAATTCCAAAGCAACTCTTATGTTTCCTTTTTGAAGCACAACTCTGTTGGTTACTCAGAACTCATTACCTTCACCCAATCTATGTGAACAGATAGAATCCTCTAAAACAGATAACCGGACCTCAAATTCTCTGCAAAGGTGATCAGCAAGGCTTGAAGATTAAAGAGAATATAGTTGTTCAGATAATCACTTCCTCATCCACCCATACCTGCAAAATATAAGGCTAAGAGGATTGAGTTGATTAGGATTAGGTTATACTGTTTCTTCTGCCATCATTTGTCAAGATTTAGTCACGAGAGACAAATACCTGCACATAACTCTTAATTTTTAGTTAGGCATTCAAGTAACAGCAAAGCTATGGAGGTTTGAGAATCCAGAACTTTGAAATTACTCAATGATGTACTTCACTATGGAATTTTAATTTGTATATCATTGAATAAAACATTGAATACCAAATATAATGAATATATCAAGACATAAAAATAAATACATTGCTTTAAAACATACATGTTAGTAGTCAATTTTTGTGAATATTGCAAATTATTTTTAAATCTAGAAATAATTATTTAATAGTATTTCAAATTTAGTGATATATGGGAATAAGTTTATATTTTCAACAATGTCAAAATCAGATTTACAACATTTAATACTTCTATTTTTATTTTACTTTTAGATAAAAATTGAGATTAAATTTATATATTTTTATTTCAAAAACAAAAATTGTGCTATCAAGATTTCATATTTGTTTCATTCATAGCTATTTAGGTTCTGAAGAGTAAATGAGGGCCCAGAGGAATGTATTCCTTAGGTTCGCAACCTATTTTTACATTACAAGTTAAATAGAATGCCAGTGCTTAAATGAAAATACACAAGAATGTCAATTCCCTTTGTAGGGATGTTTAATTATTGTATGTGAAATATTGGTAAAGGTGAGTCTGAACATAAAAGTCAAACACAGCAGAAATATCACTGTTCATTAGCTTACATCATACCATACCAACATTTGTGAACTTGTTCTAGGCAGACATTGTCAATGAAAATTGAGTAACTAATCCATTAAAGCAAATCTCACCAGCCATCTAGGTTTTTTCTTCTTTTAATTTCTAATGTATTAGTTGGAGTTAATTATGTTTCTCAAATTTGTGTAAAAGAAACTTTTAGAAAAGATAAGCTATTTTACTTAGAGATTATAACATGACTGGCAAGAACTGAAGATAATTATATGTCTCTAAATTCTATTATCTGTCCCCTATATCATTTTTAAAAGGTTTAAAAAGCATAACAAATATTTATTTATGTATTTCACAATTGACCTTAAATACCTTCATTTATTTAAGGCATAGGTAAATTTAAAAACAAACAAGGTAATATTAATTATTATCTTCTTTTCAGATTTGGAAACTATACAGATAACATACCTAGATTAGTTATTAAAAGGACTTTCATAAAAGTTTGTAGTGCCTAGATTTTGCTACATTTTTAGCGATAGGCAATGATAAACATTGCAAAATAAGACAGAAATGAGTCATGCCCAACAAGATCTCAATTGACCCAGTAGAGTGAGATCATTATGTAATTCAAACAAGCTGAAAATTTGTGTCTATTTTGATCCTCATTGTCTGCCAAGAGAAGAAAGTAAAGCTGATGAATTACAGCCTCTTTGGGGTTTTGCCACTTTTTTTCCTTTGAGAAAAATGAATGTAACAAGAGTGTTTTCACTTTCTCGTTTGTACACTGCCTTGAGAAGGCTGTGTGTTGGATTAGTAGTAACTGGTGACTTTTGATTTTATGTGTTATCAGGAGCTACAACCATAGAGAAATATGACCTCAGAACAAATCTGTGGATCCAGGCAGGGATGATGAATGGCCGGAGGTTGCAGTTTGGTGTGGCTGTTATTGATGACAAACTCTTCGTAATTGGAGGTCGAGATGGCTTAAAGACATTAAACACTGTTGAATGTTACAATCCCAAAACCAAGACTTGGACTGTCTTACCGCCAATGTCAACACATAGACATGGTCTAGGTAAGATCTCTTACTTTATTGATCTTATTCTTAGAAATATATTTTAATGACAATGTAAATGTATTAATATGTCAAAGACAGCATTAATAGTATAAATTATCATTACCTTTAGGTAATTTGTTGGCTTATTTGAAGCATATATTTTCTTTAAAGTACTATTTTTCCTTGTGTTGACCAACATATATTTAAACTCTTGAAAAAGATGTTAAAACATCCCAAAAAGAGGAGACCTCAAACTGTCCTGAAAGCTTTCACAGTCTGACAATCATATCATATGTGAAAATTGATATTAAAAAAATGAGAGAGAGAGGCCAAAGCAGTATATCCTAGTAGAAGAAGAAATAGTTAATGGGGACTTAGTAAAACTTCTCACATTACTGGAGAGGTCAGTCTACCTGTATCTTTGTACATAATTGATTACACTTTGAAAACATTCATGGGGAAGAGGGCAGTATGGGTACCATAAATCAATGTGGCAGAATTCATCTGTTTCCTCTATGAGTATCCTATAGACTAGAGAGCACTGTATGTGGAGTCAGAAGATTTAGGTGTGCCTCTAGAGTTTACCATCTTCTATTTGGATGAATTAAATTTAAATCATTTAAATTCAGCCTCCGTCTCCTGATTTGCCACCACTTCAAGGTAGTTAAGTAGATAAAAATATAATAATTACTATGATTGTGCAATTATCTTTCAATTTATAAATACCTATACAAATTTTTAAAGGAATTTAATAAACACAAATGGTTCTTGAATTTAAACTTTGTTTTAAGGAAATTGTAGGGTCAGGCACAGTGCCTCATGCTGTAATCCTAGCACTTTGGGAGGCTGAGGTGGATGGATTGCTGGAGCTCAGGAGCTTGAGACCAGACTAGCAAGAGCCAGACCCTATTTCTACTAAAATTAGTAAAACTAGCCAAGTGTTGTAGCCGTCATGTAGACGCAGCTACTCACGAGGCTGAGGCAAGAGAATCACATGAGCTGAAGAATTTGAGATGTGAGCTATGAGGCTGTGGCACTCTACCCAGTATGACAGAATGAGACTGTCTCAAAAAGGAAAAACAACAAAAAAAGGAGATTGTAACAAAAAATGCAAAGTACTTTGTTTGCAAACATGAAATATGCCAGAAATTTCATGTATTTAGATTATGCACATTAGGGCAATATCAAGATGGCAAATCCACAGATTTAGACTTTTGTGGGTAAGCAAAATTATAATCATTCCATATTTAATGCTTCAGCCCTGTATTCTTCATCTGTGTCTACTCCGTCATCAGTCTAAACATAAATGAAAATAGAAAGAGGTAAAATACCTCTGAACTAAAGAAACTTACCTATTTGATCTCTGTTAATCTGGTTTAACTCTCTTTTCTTTATAGTTTTCTCATTAATAAAATTAAGGAATAATAATAAATATCTGATAAAATTTTAAAAGTTTAAAAATTTATTATTTAAATAAAAACTGTATGAATTCTTTAAATTCATTGGACCCAATTATAATATGGAAAGCATAAACGGCAAGTAGTCTTTTCCTAGCAAATATTCATGAATATAAAAGTTTTCTTACAGGTATTTTTTCAAACATATTTAGAGATTTTGGCTTCTGTAAATGCTCTGTGTTGTTTTCATTAGTGAATTACCTAACTACGTGGGTTTCTGTTTGGGAGAAATATGGAGAATAATCACTCTGAATTGGTTTTGGGAAATTCATGTATCTTTCCCCTTTACTGTTTTTGGTCAATTTGATTTTTTTGTAAGTTCAATTGTGTAGGATATTGCCATGTCAGCAAAACATACTTAAAAGTTTTCACCAATAGTGTATCTTACGTAGTGTAACTTCAGTTGTTGAAAGGGTATTGGGGTTATGGATTGCCTCAAACCCAGTACTTGGGCTGCTTAATCCAGTAGACACCAATGTTGAGCAGGGGCAGTAGAGCAATTTGGACAATCTCTTTTAGTTTGTCTTATTTATTGAGAATTCATTGTAAAGTTACATGTGAAAGTGAGGCTTCATACAAGCCAAGTACCACAGACATGTCAAACATAAGGCATCGTTTTCTGCAGAGTTTTCACGATGCAGTAACAACTGCAGCAGTCCCCTACTTTCATGCCTAAGTTTCTCTTTCCTGTTTCTTTTTTTTGGTGCACGTTTCATTCCCATTATCAAGTGGGCCACCTCTCTTCCCTTTTCATGGCACTGGTTTTCTCTGTGTTTTACTTCTTAGTGTTTATTGCTTCTTACTATTTCTTAAAAAGAAAACAAAATGCTCTGCATCTGTGTCCCCCAAGGTCTGACCGAGTGGCTTTAGTGGAAAAATCAGAGCATAGCACATAATTCTGGGCACAGCTCTCCTCTCAAACCTTCACAGTTGGCTGGCCTTATAGAAATGCCTTATAGAAATGCCCTTATAGAAATCTGCCTTTTGTTTACATACTAATCACATGTTCAATCAGTCAAAGCTGGATTGATAGGGGTGCAAGGCATCTGTGTTCTCTGCTGAGACAGAGTGCTGCTCTGTGATCAGTCACATTCCTTCATGATCAGCTGAATCACAGGAAGCTCAGTATTGTGGGTCAGACCCAGACACCATAAACTCCCACGCCTTCAGACCCCTGATCTTCCAATGGGATGTAACAGTCTTTGATGTCTTCCAGGGACTTTCATTGTATAGATGTTGCTATTTTATTTAATTCATCGTATCTTTTAAGTTTTATTTTATATTGGTTATTTTTCCTGATTCATAACTTCAATGTCCATCCTTTAAAATTGTTCTTCATCTGTGTGCCTTATCACATTTATATCATGACTTGATGGTTTAGTCTCAGTTACATTTGCTTTTTACAGTCTCACGATTCCTACCTGATAACTCACTATAATTACATTCTTCTTAACGGTATTCATATCCTCCTTACCTCTGTGAGGCGGCTTAGTATTCCTATTTTGATTCCTTATCTGCCTCTTTGAAGGAATAAATCTTCTTATACATACCCGCTTCCTTTCACTTCCCTTCCTGCCACTTTTTCTTTGCCTCTGTCTCATTTTACTTCCTTCCTCTTTCCTGTTCTTCATTCCTTTCTTCTCACCTGCTCCCTCTTTTTTTTTCTTTCTTTTTCTCTTTTTCCTCTTTCCCTTCCCTGGCCATGTCTTCTTACTCCCTTTCTCTAACTCTTCTAATTATTTTTAATTGTAGATGTGGTCACTGAAATATATATGTTTTATGTAAGCACTCGTATCAGCAATAGTGAATACTTTGGCCAGTTGTATAAAAACCCTAAAGCATAAGATACTCTTCATGTCTTTCTAAAACTTTCAGCATTTGATGGGGGAATTACAGCTGGTCATGGAACCCTAACCCCACAAGCTGACTTTGTGTAAACTGCCTGCTGTGACCCCTGACTTCTGGCCTGGGGTACACATCTATTTACATCCATTCGCACATAAATCCCCCTGAGCTTTTCTTCCTTATCTGTGATGTCCTAGCCTTAGAGCTACTAGCTGAAGTGAGAAGGCAATATTCAGGACCAGCACGTCTATTTGCTTCCTTGTTGGCAATTCCTCATCCAAGCTGGGCTTCATTGGCATCCTGATGTTAGCAAACCAATTCTGGCAAGCTCTGCATCAACACTGATGCTTTATTGCTCATCAGTGTAGAAGATGCAGGAACTCTTCCAAAGGGAAGAATATAAATTAGTAAAAAAAAAAAAAAAGAACATATCAAGTTTTTCTCCACGATAGTCCTTCCAGACAGTAACCTAAATTTTTGTCTAACACAGAAAGTGACAACAGAATTCTGTTTCTCTGGTTGTTTTTACAATCTTGATATTAGGTTCTCAAATATACACCCTGACTCTCCCTTCAGTCTACTTGATAGGATTGCTTTGGAGTGTAAACCAAGAGCCTGTATCAGATTTCTATTTGTTCAGAAGCTAGAATGTCTCATTTTATTTGCCACATGCAGTACCCACTCATGGCATGCGGTCGGATTATAAAATTGAATATATAATACCGTATTATACAAACAAATCACAAGGAGTTAGACTCCAAAGTGAAATTTCGAAATTAAAAAATCTGAAAACTCAAAATGCATTTTTGACTTATATAGCTCTCTCTGGTTTGATTTGTGTGAAAAATAAATATCCTTATGTGATTTTATGAAAAAGTTGTATGAGTCTAGCAGTTATTAAAGATAATTATGTGGTCCAAATGCTTCAGAACTATCCATAAATGATCCTTCTGCAGGATAAAATGACATATAAAAATGATATGCATATTAAGTCTGCGACATCAAGGGAGCGATGTATCTGCCTAGAGAATTACACTAATTAAGACCACCGTGCTCTCATTATGCTGCAAGTTTTTATCATTTATGTTTCTAAAAAACATAATTCCATAAATGATGGATTTTTAACATTTTATATTGCATAAAACTAAATACACATTATTATAGTATACTGTTTCTATTAAATCTTTGGAGAAGAAGTTAGTAACAGTAATAATAGTGACTGTTCATTGCAGATTTCCTATATAACATGTAACATGTTATATGTTAAATACTGAATAGGATTGTTTTTGTTGCTACATCCCTTTCAGCAATAAATAATTTGTTTTTATAAAGTTTCAAAGTTCCCTTATGTTCCTAGTTAATTGAATGTTTTTCTCACAAATAGATATTGGATTTCCTTGCATCTACTGAAATTAGCTTGTGATTTTTGTCCTATCTTCTATTAGTGTAATGTATTATGTTAACTAATGGTCAGACGTTGAACCACTTTAGCTTTTTTCAGATAAATTCCACTTAATCAGGGTTTATATACTGCTTTTGTACTATATATACGGCCTTTGTATTTACTGCTGTATTTTGTTCACTAGTATTTTATGGCAGATTTCTTATCCATATTCACAAGAGATAATGGTCTCTTATCTTATGATTTCTTTGCTAGTATCAAACCAGTATCAAAGCAATACTGGTTTCATAAAATGAATTGGGAAATGATCGCTC